CTTCTACAACTACGCTCACTCGATCTTCATCCTTATGTTTTGGATACTACCCATCAACCTCCCAGTACTGGTGGTTTGGGTACGCAACCTGGCAGTCCACTGGATGACGCCTTTCTCCTCGCATCACAACATCCTCTCCATCATGCCGTTTATCCTGCTCGTTGAAACCCTGAGCACCGGCCGCATGATTCCTCGAGCGGAGTTCCGTGTCTCGTTCTTTACAAACATCTTGCTCTTCTCCATCGGCGCATATGCTGCTGTTTACGGCGTTACATACGCCTATGTTCTGCATCACCTAGCAAACATACTCTGTGCCTGGCTGGTCGCCATTCACTTTGATCCATCAGCATGGTCTCCCAGAAGAGCAAGTGATACCATAGAGGGCAGAAAACCGGATAGCGAAACAAAGAAACGACCATGACAGCAGCGATAATACAATTTTTCTGTTTTCTTCTTCCATCGTACACAATACGTGTACACTTTCGGCGTTCAATACCCCATTTCTGTTCTTTCCTTCATCTGCATGTTACTGGCGTTTCACATCTCAGGGCATCAGCATTTTCGACAATGAGCATATATAATCCTTTCCTCTTCTATTTCATGATTGCGTTGCATACGGTTGGCGCATATGGCTGTTTGGAGCAGCACTGGATTAGAACAAGATGGGAAGGGAAGATGCGCAGCATAAGCAATGTAATCATTGCGCGCGTGTAGGCGAGTGACAACCTGGTGGGGCAACATAGCCTCAGGAATTATATTGTGTAATGGCGGATGCAACAATAAGAAGACCAAGTTTCACCCATATGCGTCCCGTCTCCTTTGCGCACGTGCAGTTGTTCATAACAGACGATGAGCAAGACATACTTTTTTGGATACGTGGAAGAGGAAGGGACATGAACAATGAATAACTATTTATCAACTACAGTACCACATTTGAACGCCACGAAATGCTACTTTACTACCCCGTCAACGTTTTACTGAAATAAACTGCCTCTAGCTTAACTGTTCATTCTACTTCCTCCTCTTGCCTCCACCACCACCGTCCTCGCCCTGGTGACTCCTCTTCTTGCCCTCCCTGGCCCAGTACTCCTGCTTCTCCCTCTTCTCGCGCTCCGCTCTCTTCTCAGCATTCTCAGCCACCTTCTTCTTGTACGGATCTTTCCTCTCTTCCTGCTTCTTACGCCTCTTCTCCACCTTGTCATTGCGAATAGCAATGACCTGGTCCATAAGTCTTCGAGCCTTCTTCTCCTCACCACCGAGGACGACAGCACGCTTCTGCATGTATGTCTGCTTCTTCTGAGGCTTCGTCGTAGCGATCTGCGATTTGAAGGGAAGATCTGCGGCGAGTTTGCGAGGCACGCGGAGTGGGTTGAAGACACGGGTCTCGCGGACGACCGGGCGGTAGGCAGAGTTCTTCTCAGAGGGTGTAGCGATGCCATTCTCGTAGCGTACCACACCTGTGAGACGCATACCTTGCCAGGAGGTGCTTTCGCCTTCTTGGTCAGGGGTGGCGGGGTTAAGCAGGTTGGTAACGGTGTTGTAGAAGCGGCGGGGCTTGATGGGGTACCAAGCTCTTAGGAAGACAATGTCGCTCATAAGGATCTTATCTTCAAAGGTAGCACGGAAATTTCCTTCTGGCTTGCTTAGTGCGCGCTTGATCTGTCCGCGCACACCGGAAACTGTTCGTATGCTGGCGCCTTCGAATTTTGCAATTTCAAGGCTGGATTTGAACATGTCTTTGATAAAAGCGGTGTTCTTGAAGATCTTGTAGGGGTGGCCGGTGAGTTTGAGTTTCTTTACTATCTCGGTGGATTCGTCTACGTTGAGTACGACACCTGTTGCTGCGATCCTGAAACCGGGCGTCTTATTCGAGAGAGACTGGATGCAAACGAATCCGGTGTTCGGGGCGACCAATGGGCCATAGAAGGTACCGAAACAATGCATGTGTTCGGGGGTGTACTTCAGCATGCGATTCCTTGTCCGTGAATCGGAAATACTATAGATTGGGGTGGTCTGGAACCGCCGCCAGCCCAAGGAGAAGATGAGGGGATCGTTAGTCTTGAGGATCTTCTTGTGCCACCTGTGGCGTTTGATACGGATCTGAACGAAACCGAATCGCTCTTCAGTTGGGGTCAGACCACCGATAAGAACAGGGAATCGTGGGTTGAAATGCGCAGAGAACTCGTAAGGTACTTTTTCGAGCACAATACGTGCATAAGTACCCGCCTTGTGACCCTCAACGCGAACGCGAGATAGCTCATCCAGCTGGTCGAATTCGGCGCGGTTGATGTCGAGCTGCTTCTGAATCATGGCCTTTTGTGCGTCGTACCAGTCGTCTTCACCAAACTCTTCCTCTTTGTCACCTTCTTTCCATGCATCAGCTTTATCGTTCATGAAGCCTTCGCGGTCTTCTTCTTCAAATCGAAGCTTTAGCTCTTCTTTCCGCCGTGCGTTCTTCTCGCGCTCTGCTTCAATTGAGTTTGCTTCAGCTTCGGCGCCAGTTTCCTCAGTCTCGCCACCGTGCTTCTCGCCGGTTTCCAAATCTTCAAACTCGCCGTCACCTTCATCATCTTCGTCAAAACCTCCAAAATCGTCGTTTTCTTCATCATCGTCACCGCCCTTGCCGTTCATATGACCGGTAGCAAAGCGGCCCATGAGAGCCTCGACGTTTTCCTCGTCTTCCCACTTCTCCTCCAACTCTTGGTAGTTGAACTTGGGGATGTAGCGGTCCTCGGCATTGGCAGCGTCGTCGGCTGTTCTCTTGCTGAAGAAGCCGTCATCTTCGTCGCCTTCTTCATCGATGTCTTCCTCCTCTTCATCGCCTTTCCATTTCTTGATGACCTCTTCTGGCGCTAGATCCATATTGTACATCATCTTCGCCAGATCTGTGACGCGATACGGCCGTTTTCGTCCGTGTAGTTTCGCAGCATTCTCCTGAAGATTGGCCTTCCATCGTGCGCCGTCTTCAATGTCATCCTCATCGGAGTCTTGCGAATCAAGGTCACCCTCAAGGTCTTCCAGATCAGGTTCATCACCAGATATCGAACCTAGATCAGAGTCACTGTCTGCAAACGCCACATCCTCAACTGTATCTGCATCCTTCTCTTTGCGCGAGACCTTCAGCTTGCCGTTTGGTGGTCCGTTGGTGTCAAGGAACCCAGTATCATCTTCGTCGTCGTCCGCATCGCTATGGTCTTGCTGTAGTTCTTCGTCGTCGCTATCAATTCCCTCAAGATCCTCGTCGTCGACCTCTTCAGCGTCTGCTGCTCTAGCTTTCCGTTGAGACCGTCGGCCCGTATCCGCGGTATCATCCTCGAGAGCCTTCCTATCCACGACTTCGCCATCCTTGAAGAGCCTGAAGTTTCCATCGTCTTCGCCAAGGAGCTTTCGCCCACCCTGCAGTCCGATCATCATTTGCTCACCTAGTCCCTTCTCTGAGTAGTCAGCCTCAGGGTCGAATGTCGCAGTCTTGACGTCAATGTAGACGGCGTCTTTGTCGACAAGCACACCGCCGACATCCGACATTGGAGCATACAGAATCTTCTGCTTCTCGCCCAATCTTGTGCGCTTCTTCTTTCCGGAGGCTTTTTCGACAGCTTTCTCAGCAAAGGGCGTTGGGCATGGATCGGGTAGCGCTTCTGTGGAGGTAACTGTGAGGTCTCCAACACCAGGTATGTGCACTCTCGATCCTCCAGCGGGAAAGTTTGTGCCGCGCAGATATCCGTACAATGCTACCGTGCGATCGCATTTCGGGTTCTGTTCGATATCGGTTGGAGGCGTGATGTCCAAAAACCTATCCGCCAAACAGTACGGATGCGAGTTCCTCCATACCAGCGGTCTCGGATTCTTCATGACACTCAGAAACCTCGAAAGATTCATTATCTCTCTGTCCGGGTATCGCCCGTTCACCACACCACTGAGGTAGAAGAGCTTCGCACCCTGATACAACTCGCTCCAAAACCTGTGCTTGAGTCTCTTCTTCTGCAGCTTGAGCGTCTCTTGTTTCCTGAACAGATCCAGATGTGTCAGGATTCCGAAGACGTTTCCTGGCATACCACTTGCGCTTAGGACGTTCAAGAACTCCATGGTCTCCATCTCGAAGCCGTAATTGCCATCAATCATCAACAAGACTATATCCACCACTTTTGCGATGTCGATCATGCTGGCGAGCGAGTCGGCGGGACATTCTAGGAAGGTAAGACGTCTACGCTTCGAGGTAACGACAGTGAGGGGACCAGTGGGCGTAGAGAGGGTCTGCTTGGTGTATCGTCTGATTAAACTCTTGATAAGAGTGGTTTTGCCGACACCGGGAGGACCGACGACACCGACAATGATTGGAGGAGCTTCTTCGGGAAGACGGTCAACGAGTGGTACGTGGAGGCGCTTCTCTTTGACCTGTACATGTCAGCTAAGGGCTGCGCAAAACTTGGAATCCGGCCTACTTCTGTGGAGCGCGCGGCCTGCCTCTTCAGTTTACCAGGCGCAGAGAATGCGAAAGCTTTGGGGTTCTTGTCTCCAGTATGCGGTTTCTTCTCTTTCTTTGGCCGATGCGGCCGGTTGCTCTGTGCGTCCGCCATATTGACTTGGTGTTCGTGTCTCACTATCAGACCTCAGTAGAAGTCGTCAGAGTGGTGTCGAGGGTCGGGACTCGTCGCGCGCAAAGTCAAGGTCCGGCGGCAAGCAACTTCGCGATCCCAACTTTTTCGACGCTAGGCCAAACGCTAAGGTTGCAGCTGCAGGGATATGCTTATCGATAAGCAGACGCGCCTTCTACGTACTGTGGTGGGGCACAGGGCACATGCCTCACATGTTGGGCATGGACGGCCGCACGTCATCCCAGACGCCGCCTATCCAAGGCTCTAGACTGCTCCCGGGATTGTTGACAGGGTCCTCGGTCTACGATAGCTGAGGTATATAAGACACCCCTACGCTTTGACCTTCTTACATCTACACAACACCACTATAACTCACTAAACTACCCCTCAACTAAACAAACACCCCCTCACACAAGTCTCCAGCATGGCTCAGTTCAACGTGGGTCCTACCAAGTCACACTACCGCTGTTATCGTACTAACACTCCAAGATCACCCTCAAGAAGGACGCTCCCAAGGAGGAGCTCGAGGCAGCAAAGAAGCACGTCACCGACCAGGGCGGCAAGATCGTCAACGAGTTCACCCTCATCAAGGGCTTCACGTACGTACTGGCATGCCCACATCTCCCCGCAACACGGCTGACATGTCACAGTGCTGAGATCCCTGACGACGCCGTCTCAACCCTCGAGTCCAACGAGCACGTCACCGTCGAGAAGGACGCCGAGGTCCGTACGCAATAGGTCGTCTACACAGCCACCGCTGATGGGTACCACAAAGATCCAAATGTAATACCGTGAGTGACGATGCGGGGGCATGATGCATGAGCACATGATTTCATGGGTATATAGCGATAATTGACAGCCGTGCCGATAACTTGTCTTCTCCTCCCTCTGGTGTCTTCATTTCTGCTTCCTCCTTGCGCTCTCCTTGGCCTCCTGCACAGTGTCTACCCTCCCCACACCCCTCAAACTAAGGTACACATCGGTACCCCATCCCCAGAGACTTTGTACCGCAATACCCCCACCAAAGTATTCCGCGTAGGCCCTCCCCAGCGGCAATCCATAGCCCAGCCCAGCCAGACTGTTCACTCCATCACCGCCTGCTCCTGAAAAAGCGTTCAGCGCATCCATGCCGTTGGCTGAGTTATTACCACCTGAGAGGGTCGAGGTTGCTTGCGCGTCGTTGAAGGTCGTGAAGCTGTAGTCCCAGATATGCGAGAGGTTGTCGGGGGAGATGCCACCCCCTCGGTCGCGGATTCTTATTGTTACTCCCGGCGTGCTGTGCTTGAGGGGGAGGATGTTCGAGTCGGGTGGAGGCGATGTAGGCGAGTTGTTGCCTGTGAAGCGCTGCGAGACTTGGTCTACGTTTCCCTGGTCCTCATTTTCAATCTTCTTATTGCGAACGTCTTCTACGTTCTCGCTTCTCCTATCCTCAGGTACGAGTTCCGGAAGTGGGGCAATGGTCACTTCGATGGGTTCGCGCTCCATGCCACTCTCTACTGTCGCGCGGAACGCGTTCTTGAGCAGTTCAGTGATGATGTATTCGAGGTGAACAGGTATATGCGCAAATTCGTAGTCGGGTTCGCCGTTGATGACAATGGTCGGTCGGACGCCGTATTTCAGCTCGCAGATTTCGCCCACCACGTTTGCGCAATGATCTACAATCCTCGCAGGCCTGAGCCTAGTATCGATAACACCAATATATCCTGGGTTCTCGTCTACGTCGTGCATCACATCGCAATGCGGTTGACTGGAGAAATGCAGCGAGAGGTGTTGCTCTGCAATCAATCTCGTGCCTATGCGCGCTCGTAGATGCTCGTCCAGGAAACGCGTCACGTCCTTGGGACTGATGTACTTCCTAGCCTCTAAAAACCCTCTTGCCAGTATACTAATAGTATTGGCATGTGTTTGTACCAGGTCTGCCATGACCTCCGTAAACTTGACTTCCTCCTCCAGCGTCGTTATCTCCTGCTCGGCCCATGGTAAAAGCGTCGACAAGCTATGCATGTAATTCGAGTGTATCTTGGAGACATGAGGATTAGATACAACGATAAACGGGAGGTTGCGGAGCGATTGTATTCGGTGCGCGAGGCGGGCGGGCAGGATCGAGAGGGTAAAGTTGGCGGATGTGAGGAGTTGTTGGGTTGTGAGCGGAGGTCTTCCGTGTCTGTTGCGCACGCGACAACGTTAGCTAGGGTCTTTGGTAGATGGACTCTGAATCACGTCTGACAGTACTCACTTGACTAGATCGGCGAGCGTCAACGGATGCAACGGCAAGCTTGCCAAGTGCGAGATGTCGTTGTCGGTAACCGTCTTGGTATGCAGCTTCCGGTAGCAACTCCCTCTAGCAAACAATGCGCTGCATGTCTTTCTGGCCGTACGCGGACAGCACAGTCGTATCATCTGCGACTGAATAATTAGAGGCCGTTGAACCTGTGCCATGGCTCTGTGTTGCAGAGCTCGATGGTGGGTGGCTTTGTGGGTTGGTGTTGGAATGACTCGTCGACCAAGTTGTGAGAGGGTGAGAGAGATCTTGTGACTGCTAATCGAATAGAGTCATGCAAGTGCGATCGTGTGGCAATTTCCAAAGCTATTAATTGATCGCCATCACGAATGGAAGCTGTTGTTTGAAGGTCGTTCGGACCCGCTGCGTTCCATTTCGGCGGGAACTATTGAGTTGTGGGGGAAGCTTCACCAAGCTCAGCTGGGCATGCGGGATGCTGTAAGCGGTATGAAGTCTGATGTCATTTGTTCGACCAACAACATCCTGGAGCAGCCCATCAATACCACACTCATTCCACATAAAGGATTACAGTCGGCAATACTCACAGCGTGACATCTTGCACAAACAGACTATGCATAAAGTTACGAGGTTTCCAAGTGAAGATCGTATAGTTTAAAATAAAGTACAAGAACACATCTCATCGTTTTCTTAGAGGCGCATTGCCATGACACCCATAGTCTTTCGTCCTATACAATATAGAAGAAGCAAGCAACAACTTTTACCCTAGGCCAAAGCCGTTCAGCAACGCCACGCAATGCTCATACTCAATCTCCTTGTCGTCATATCAAACAAACGCGAATTCGAAGAACTTTTGTGAGGTAATCAAGCCTCTGGGTATATGTTTGTAAGACCTGTTGGAACACCAGAAACAATCGACTTTTGGCACATAATATCAAACATCGTGCGAGGAGCTGCTGATGGAACTGCGACTGGTACCATCGGTAATATGAGTCGCGATACTCATGCGCTGGAACGGCGAAACTAGGTTTTGTTCGCGAGATGGCGGACTCGACAAACCCTGACTTCCCGCTGGTGACGAAGGTGGTGGGTGGCTTGGCAGAGCATCATTTGCGCCGTAGCGCTCCCGGAGACGCTTGATCTCGCGAAGTCGGTTACGCCAGGATGATATAGACTCGCCTCCTTCACGAATGTACCATACACTGGAGAAGACGACCGCGTTGATGGCCATAAGGCGGCAGTAGTCAGCAAGGTACTTGCCACACAGAATCTTTGTCTCGACAGCAGGAGATATATCGGGGAAGCCTGACTTTGAAATGGTCTGGATCTTGTAGTAGCGATTCCTGCCGTCGGGATCTGCGTCCAGTCGACGGTCAACGAAACTAGCTCTAGACTCTGGGGAAATCACGATGTGTACGTAGTTGAAGGCGGACGGGAATGTGTTAAAATCGTAAGGTAACCCTGAGTCGTTGAAGATGATGTTGACAAAGTCGTTACCAATATGTCGTTTTTTGTTTGGGTATGTCATGTCGTCATCGCGGTTGGTAGGCATCATTGTAGGAATGTGGAAGACGAGCTCCATGCAGCGGTCGCGCCAGCAATAGGTAAACTCGCCATCAATATCCTCGCGAGTGTCCAGACCACCAGTGTTGAATTTTGCACCCTTCAGACGGCACAAGGTACCTAGGTCGCTAAGGAACGCGGTATACGCTGGGGACCCCATGTCGTTCATGAAGATGTCTCTTTCGTTCGTTTGGCCTTCGCCAATATAGATGACACCCACTTTATAGTTGTCAACCGTTGCGATTCGGTCGAACGTAGTGATAGCACGGCGTGTCGGCTCGTCATCGGGCAAAGGAATTGGCGGATTACTGAGGTCGAGCGGCGCGTAGAAGGATTGGAAGATGTCGTCTGGTAGAATTCCAACATAGGTGTTGGAGTAGAATGCTTCAGAGGCAAGGCCGATAGTGATCGGTACCTGGTGTCGCGGCGGTGAGGTAATTAGGGGCCGCACCTTGATGAAGCGAGTACCGCACTGTCAGTCGTTAGCAGATGTATTAACCATTAGCAACTCGCATGACGTACTGGCCGACGGGTTGTGACGACGGAGGCACCTGTCCTTGCCGCAGTCTCTATTGTTATAAGAGCATTACCAACGATCCAGGTCTTCTTCCAGACTTCGCCATCGCCAGGTTTGAAGGAGCTCTCCTCCCGCGTCGTCTCATCGCGATCTGTATATGCTACCATATTCATGATATCTAGAATGACTTGTCCTTGCTCTTCCATGACTTGCCTCCCAGAGCTGTCAGTATAGTATAAGTTCTTTGTGATCCACGGTATCTGCTTCGGACGGTCCTCCATCTTCAATGCCATGAACCAGAATGTAATGACGTGATACGCGAGCGAGTAAAGATACTGGGGCAAGTCGTCCTCAACACTTCTTGGCTTGTTTGCAATGGAATCTGACGATGCCGCAAAGTCTCGTGATGCACCACTATGCCGCAGGGTCCGATGCCCACTTTGCAACGAATGCCCATTGACCGTCCTGTCACGCTGGTCGCGTATGTGTTGTAGGTATCGGAAGCACACACCAAAAACCAACTTGAACTCATCTTCACGGAAGTTCTTAAAGAGCTCCGGAAGACGTGCTAAAGAAGTGAGGAACTCCAAGATGTGTATCGCCGTGGCCGGCTTGGTGATGATTTGCGACATTTTCTGAATAATGCTGTCAAGTGACTTGCTAACCGAGAGCGGGATTTCGAAACAGCAGACCGACAGTGCGTGAATACACCATTTTGAGGTTCTATCCCATTGTACGATGCCCTGCAGGAATGCTTTAACAAGATCGTCTTCTTCGCTCTTTTCGAAATACTCGTGATAGCTGATGATGATAGTCAGTATGTGAAACAGGCACACTGCAACATCAGCCTTTTTCAGAAGCGTGTGCGGCGGAGGTTCGTGGAAGCTCGCATTCCGCACCTGTTCACAAAGAACATTCCGCAGCATCTTGAGCTGAGCAACACAACTGCGAACCAGCGCTTGGTTCGAGAGTTGAGGTCCAAGATGGACGAGTACATAACTATAGATCTCCCAATCAGGTGGTCTCTGTAGAAGTGAGATGATCAACTCGAGCCACAGTGTAATTTCCATGTCTAAGATGTCATCATCCAGGGGATATTTTGCCGCGTCAATGTGAGAGAACACGACCCGGCTTGAGTCAGATGGAGGTTCCTCAGGTAATCCTTTGGGACCAGGATACATCCACAAGGGAGGTATCGGTTTCGAAACACGACCGGCTGGAGCAGTTGTGCGGCCTGTATGTCGATTGAGGGAAGACCGAGGACTTGAACCAGAAGTCTTGCGTTGCTCGCGCCACGAGAGAGTATCTTCTGATCTGCTATAGTCACCCGCTGAGCCTTCATCCATCTTCTCCGGTGCAACCGCTGTTTCCTCGGTGCGGCAAAGTTCAGCGGCAATCCTCTGGCCTTCAGGGTCAGAGCTGACTATCAGAGCGTGGCGGGCATCAGCGCGCAAACGAAATAGTAGTTTGAGAGCAGTAAGACGTGCATCATGCGCATAAGCGTCCCTTCCAGCAATTTGCCGTAGTAGTTCGTAAAGAATGCGTGTCTTTTGCGCCGAATGTGTCACGCTTCGAGTGAAGAGCCGTACGTAAGCAGTTGCGATGATGTTGCAAGGGGAACAACCATCTTCTTTGAGAAAAAAGGGGTGAGACTGCCATGACGGTAGAGAGGACGTCATGGAAGCTTGTGGGCGGTCCAGACGTCGCTGTAAAATGAGAACAATGTGTGAGAACCGGGCCGTTGATGCTTGATCAGCGACGTTCATCGCGAAGTCCACCAGTTCTTGCAAGACTTCTATGTCCTCTTCTTTTTGGATCCGGCTGAGAAGAAGTTCTTCGGACTCCAATACTATTTGGCTCGAACACAATAACTCGACAGCATCGTGCGTTTCCCGTAGCGACTGGATTACGAGCAATCGAAGTGAGCGCGGTCTTGTAGCATCGTCGAAGATACCAGAGACCAGACGGTGGCAAAGATCAAGCCACCCGGCGTTCGAAGGGTTGAGGTAGCGTCCGGTGGCAAAGTATTGTATGACCCTCTCCGCAGTCGCATCACTGATACGGTGTGAGATTAGCAAGAAGAGCTCCATCACAGCCTCGCGTTGGATGAAGTCGAGTGCGTCGCTCATATGATCTAGTTTGACCAACACTTGATATATGCCGTCATCTGAGTCACGCCGAAAGAGCTCCGGGTGGGGTGCAGAAGCGTCGCTGCTATGCTCTGCTCTGCTAGCATTGGATGAGCTGTCTCCATGAGGCGACATCTGTCTTTCAATGACATCCTTCTTTGTGTCGCTCCCATGATCTGCCAACCTAGTCATCTTGGTTCGGATACGCTCGTCGTCACGTTCTGCACATACACGTAAAACTTGTAGCATATCTCCCAAGTCACTTTCCGCAAGTAACAGCTCCCTCATGCCTTCTTGAGCTAGAACCGCATCTATCAGACTGACGACTATCTGCTCCTGGTCGGTGCCTGGTATCTTGATGGAAGCGTTCAAAGCTGGGAAGAGCAAGGACAGGGGCACTTTGGGCAGCTCATTTCGGCCGTCCTCTAAGAGGAGAAGGCGCAAGACCAGAGTCGTGCCCCTGTACATGCTCTCTAGCTTCCTCTTGAGCCCGTCGTTTTCCAAGGTCTCTCGGCTTGGGCCGTCCAGGAGCATATGCAGCAGTTCGGATATAGCAGCTTGACCAACATGGGACTTGAACAGATTGCTCAACGTATTCCAGGCTTGATCCTGAAGTTCGGTGATTCTCTTGTGGATTTCACACAAAACCTCGAGACACATGCGAAGTGAGCGCCTCGGGATATGAACGTAGGTGACGATGGTGTCGAAAAGCTTGACACCGCACTCGACATCAGGTCGATGAGTTGTAGCCCTGCAGATGGCGACGGTCCGTCGTATGAGAAGATCCAAGTCATCGTCGGTAAAGACCTTGGCGTTGAACTTGCAGATGTCGGTAGCATACTGGAAGGCTCGAAACATGTTTGCGGCTTCTTGGGGAGGGTTGGCGGTACTCCTTTTCCCATTCGCTTTGCTCCTCATTCCGCGGAAGGCATCACAACTAGCCTGGAAGCAGCTGTCCAAGGAGGTCAGGATGAAGGAGACCATGCCTGACTCGCACGAATCGATGTCGCGCCCATGATTGGTGAGGGTGGTAATGACTTCAAGTCTCCTGTCGAAGAAGTGGTCGTTCTTACGCAGACAGGCGGCGTCGAAGAAGAGAGTGCGCTCGATGCTGGCCAGGTCTGACAGGGACGCACAGCTCTTCAGGAGCTTGTACCCCGCCTCTGCGACATCGTCTGGCTGTTCGGGAAGGAGCAAGTCGCTTGCGACAGACCATAGCCCCAGTATGTTCTGCACGGGATACGCCTCGAGGATGTCACATATCTTGTCCACGGCCACGGCGCGCTCGGCGAAGGGGCGGTTCCGATGCAGCTGCTCGATCAGGTCGTCGAGTTCTGGTGGTCCGCCGGTAACAGGCTTGCCCGTCCGCTGGCCTGTGACCTGGCTGATGCGCTGAAGGGTACCGTCGGCTGAGTGCGGGCTAGGGATGGAGCCGGGACGTATGGTGCCCAGCGAGGGAGTGCGCGCAGGCGTGCTGGTGGCAGACGAGACAGAGGGCGGCGGCGTCGGGCTCTTCAGACGGCCGCCCGTCAGAGAGCGGAAGGCTGTGAAGAGCGCCTGGGTGGAGGAGCGGCGGTCGGGCGTGTGGGGGACATGGTCGGGCGGCGGAGACATGCGTCTGGGTGTCGCGGATCAGCGTCGCCGGGTGAATGTCTAGTAGGTAGGCTCCAGGACTGCCGCTGCAAAGGCTAGAGAAGAGAGCTGTGAGAGTGGCGCAGGCGCATCGAGTCTATCATGGGTGCTGGTCGGCGGAGAGGCGGGGCTGTCTATGGTGCCCATTTAGGAGTGGGGAGGGAACGCGGCTGCACGGGACGAGGCGGCGACGGGTTACGCCTGGAGAGAAGACGAAGTAGTGGCGTGCTCGGCGAGGAGAGAGCAAGACAGCATCTTGTCGTGTCATGGATGCTCTCTCGGAAAATCATCTGGGGTTATGTACCTAATCCCTGTCCACGCCAGAGCTCTTCCTACAGTAGCGTGTCAGTCAACGCCCCAGGTCAGTCAACGCCCCACCCCACCAACACAACAACACAACTTCAACGCGTCATAACTCCACCAATATGGATCCGATTCAAGAAGCGATTGAATATATCGAATCGCGCGAGCCAGGAGATGATTTCTCGTATAACAAAGTTGCTGCCCAGTTTGGTGTTGAGCGCAGTACGCTCGCCCGAAGACACCAGGGTGTGCAGGAGCGGAAGGGCGTCTCCCATCGATCCCTACACCCAGAACACGAAGCCGAGCTTGTACGATATATCGAAACGCTTACCGAGAGACGTTTGCCACCTACAAAAGTCATGATACAGCAGTTTGCCAGCCAGTTGGCTGGCAAACCGGTCTCCGAAAGCTGGGTTGCCCGGTTCCTCCGCCGTCATCCCAACCATCTCATCTCTCGCTCGGGCAAAGCTATGGCCAAGGAGCGTACAAAAGCTGATTCAGGGGCAAAGTACAGCTTGTATTTCAAGCTGTTACACGAAAAGATGGAGGAGTACAACGTCCAACCGATACATATATTCAATATGGACGAAAAGGGGTTTCAACTTGGCCGGGTTGGTAGAACAAATCGTGTATTCAATAAGAAGCTTTACGAGTCAAAAGGGGTAAGGCAAGCACTTGAAGATGGCTCCAGCGAGTGGATAACGGTTGTGGCTTGTATTTGTTCGGATGGGAGCGCTTTGAGTCCAACGCTCATCTTTCAAGGAGCCAACGGAGCTGTTCAATCGAGCTGGGTTGACGCTGTACAAGCAGGAGAACACTCAGTATTTACTACGTCATCACCCTCCGGCTGGACCAACAACGATATTGGGTTAGCTTGGCTCAAACAGGTGTTTGACCGAGAAACTAGACGGCATGCTTCAACTGGGTATCGATTACTACTCCTTGACGGCCATGGATCCCACGTAACCATGGAGTTTATTGAGTATTGTAACGACAACAAGATCCTCTTGTTTGTATTACCCCCTCACGCTACTCATACGCTTCAACCCCTGGACGTTTGTATGTTCAAACCCCTTTCGAACGCTTACTCAACCCAGTTGATGGGATACCTCCAGGACAGCCAGGGGTTACTCAATTTGACCAAAGGAGACTTCTTCCCGCTCTTCTGGAGGGCTTGGGGTAACGTATTCAAACCTCCACTCATCAAGAAGTCGTTTGAAGCCACTGGTATATACCCAGCCAACCCGGACGTTGTACTCGAGAAGTTTGCCCAGCAAGCTTCAGACTCCGACAGCAGCAACTCAGTACTATCGGGGAGCGATTGGCTCAAGCTCAAATCAATCGTACGCCGTGAGGTGAAGGATCAGAGCAGTAAGGACGTCAAGAAGCTTCAACGAAGCTTGTGCCACATCTCAGCTCAAAACAGTATACTCCAAGAGGAGGTCAGAGGCCTCAGGCAGTCCCTAGCCATCAAGGAGAGGCGACCAAAGCAGAGCTACACCCTCCAGCTTGACGAGGACGAGGTTTACCATGGGGGAGCCAAACTGTGGTCGCCCAGGAGTGTACAACGAGCTCGCGATCGTCGGGCATCACAACAACAACAACAGGAGCTTGAAAAGCTTCAAAAAGCCAAGCAAGCCGAGATCAAGAAGGCAGCTCGCGATTGTGATCTTCAACTTAAAGCTTTGAAGCGTGTTGAGCGGGAGAAGGGTTGGGAGGAGACCAGAAAGCGGAAGGCTGCAGAGAAGGCCGAAAGAGACCTCAACAAGAGCCTCCGCGACGCCCAAAAAGCTATACAATTGCCCCCAAAGGGTAAGCGCAAAGCTTCAAAACCTCATAAGCCAGCTGCAAAGCGTCAGAAACGTGTTGGGGGTGGTACAGCCTCTGTAGGAGCCCGGGTAGTTGCACAGCCAGTTCCACCAAAAACCACCAAAACGCGGGTAATCCGCCGCCCAAAAAAAGATTTGGACTAGCGCAAAGTTTTCGCAGGCTATTATATAGTATAAATCTACTTTTGCGCAATTTTATCACGTTTTGTTGAGGCGTTATAGCTGCAATACTCATGAAGCTGTTGTGTTGTGGGTGGGGCGTTGACTGACCTGGGGCGTTGACTGACACGCTACTGTAG